CTATCTCTGCCTCTGTGTCTCCCTCCCTATCTCTGCCTGTGTCTCCCTCCCTATCTCTCTCTGCCTGTGTCTCCCTCCCTATCTCTGCCTCTGTGTTTCTGTGTTTCTTTTTCTTTCTCTCCTGGAAATTACAGGTGAAGCAAACATAAGAAGACTTTGAAAGGTGGAGAGAAAAGGGCAGACCAGCTAGAGACTGCAGGACCTGAGGAACACAGCAACAAATTCCGTGGGTTTTCTGCTTTGCCTTCTGTATTATAAACTGGGTGATGAAGAGGCCAGAAACCTACACACAATAGCAGGTGCAGAAAAAAAAAAAAAAAAAAAAAAAAAAACGCTCTGCGCCCTTAGCACAGTGGCTATAGCACCAGCCACATGCACCAAGGCTGGCAGGTTTGAACCCGGCCCGGGCCAGCTAAACAACAATGACACCTGCAACAACAACAACAAAAAAAAAAAAACAGCCAGGTGTTGTGGAAAGCGCTTGTAGTCTCAGCTACTTAGGAGGCTGAGGCAAGAGAATTGCTTAAGCCCAGGAGTTTGAGGTTGCTGTGAGCTGTGACACCACGGCACTCTACCAAGGGTGACATAGTGAGACTCTGTCTCAAAAACAAGAAGAAGAAGAAAAAGCAGCAGTAAAAGCCATTCTCTCTAACCAAAGGACCAGGAAAGGTCCTTTGCAGCCACTCTATTGCAGCCAAAATGTCAGAAAAGGCTATGGCCCCACCAGCAAACCCCCAGGGGAACCCAGACTCTGTCCTTGCCAGGCTATGATGAAACACCTCAACCCACCCCCCTCACTGGGGTGATATCACAGGAGAATGAGTCGGAAGCTGGGACTTTCCCCCATCGCTGGGCGGTACCTGGGGCCGTCCTCCCTGCCTGTTAGTGGAGACCACGTGGGAACTGGAAGACACCGCCACCCTCTCTCAGGACGGCCCCTCCACCTCAAGTGTCAACAGTGGTCCCATGGGAAACCCGGACTTCTAGCCCCAGCTGGCAGTCACAGGGCGGTGTCAGAGGAAGCCAAGGAAAACAGCAGACATGGATAAGACCAGGCGTCCATAACACAAGGTTGAAATCCTCCAGGTTTCTGTCAGTGATGACTTAGAAAGTCTCAGCAGAAGTACAGAAGAGACGAAGAAGAACTAGATGAAAATTTTAGAACTGAAAAATACAAAAGCCAAAATAGACAATGGTCGGCTTCACAGCAGAAGAGATGGGACAGGAAAAGAATCGATTAGCTTGAAGAGTGAACAGCAAAAACCGAACACCGGGAACAAAGAGAGGAAATAGATTTACAAAATGAAAAGAACCTCAAGGACTTATGAACCTGGGACAAAAGATCAAATGTCCCTGTTATTGGAGCTTGAAGTGGAGGAAGAAAGAGGAAAGGACTAAAAAGGTCCTCAAAGAGGTCATGGCTGAAAACTTCTAAAATTTGACAAAACTGGATGAACCTCAGTGGTCATTAAGAATGCAAACTGAACAATAAAATGATATTTTTATTCTTTGCTTCTCCAATTGGCAAAAAATATTTATGATTGATAATATTTCAAGTATTGGTGTGCATCTAGCAAATGGGAATACTTAGACTTAGTGGTAGTTTCAGTTGGTGACACACATTTCATGAAACTTTTCCTGAATGGAATTTCAGCTATTACTTCAAAACGGTGAATGTGCACGTGTGCTGACACTGAGACTCCACTTTCAGATATAAATTTATTTCATAAAATAGCTACAGGTGTTCAGAAATTATATAAACAATGAAGGATGTTTTTGAAATATCATGTATAAGAATGAAAAATTGCAAATAAGAATGTCCATTAGTGGTGGTTCACACCTGTAATCCCAGCACTTTGGGAGGCCGAGGTGGGTGGATTGCCTGAGCTCACAGGTTCGAGACCAGCCTGAGCAAAAGTTATAGGCATTGTGCTGGGTGCCTATAACCCCAGCTACTCAGGAGACTGAGACAAGAAAATCACTTGGGCCCAAGAGTTCAAGGTTGCTATGAGCTAAGACACCACAGCACTATATCCAGGGTGGCAAAGTGAGACTCTGTCACAAAAATAATAATAATAATTAATGAATCATGTCCTATTTGTACCATAGATGTGATATAGTTGTTGTTGAAGAATGCTTAAGGCAGACTTACACATTTTGACATGGACAGAACTTCAAAATGAAAGGTACTAACAAAGAAATAACATGTATACTATGACCCTGAAACTCCCACACAGAGAAAGATGTATGTTTGCCGCAAATACAGTGCAGAGAAAGTGGGTACAGAGCTCAGAAAGTGTAAGCAATAGACTCAGCTTTAAGCTATCCTTGCTTGAAACTTTGCATAAATTAAGAAACAGAAAATGTCACTATCAAAGAATAGTGTGGAGGGACTGATGGAGATTATGGGGGGACAAAATCTCCATAAACCAAAGGTTGACAATTGTTGAGTTTGCTGGGAGTGAAGAACAAAGGGAAATGTTCATACTTTGTTCTCCACACTTTTATATCTTTGGCTCCTGCCCAGTGAAAAGAAATGTATTGATGTATTTATTGTATGATAAATAAAAAGTTATGGAGATATAATCATATGGTTTATAAAAAAAAAAAAAAGAACAATGGATAGAATAATAATAGCTCATACTTAGTGGCTGTCTGCAAAAATCATGCGTCAGGCATTGGGCCCAAGTGCTGTGCATGTATTTTTCCATTCACAGGAACTCTGCGAGATGGGCAGTAGGAGCCATTCTAAGTGCCTTAAATCCATCATCTCACCTAACATTCACAGCCACTCTGAGATCAGGACTATTATTAACTGCCATTTCACAAACAAAATAGAACGCTTAAACCAATTACCCAAGTTCATAGCAGAGCTGGGTACTCAATTGTGTTATGTCAACTCCAGTATCTACCTACCCTCTCTGCCCCTACATCACAGAGAGAGGAAAATCCACGCACCTGCTAAGCCTGGAAACTGTTTCTTCATCCACATCAGAGGAACGCTGTTTCACAACACTTGAAAACTGGTTCAGGAACAAGTTCACCTTGGCAACGTATAAACTAAAATTGGAATGATACAGTGATTAGCATGGCCGCTGCACAAGGATGACACACAAATTCGTGAAGCGTTCTGTACTTTTGCCCACATCACAAAGTCCCAAAGCTGCACACGCTGGTGTGCATGCGGAGAGAAGAGAACACTTTTACACTGCTGGTGGGACTAATACAACCTCTTTGGAAAGAAGTATGGAGAATCCTCAAATAACTCAAATTAGACCTCCCATTTCTCCTTGCAATCCCACTACTAGGCGTCTACACAGAAGGAAAAAAGTCCTTTTATCATAAAGACCTTTGCACTAGATTGTTTACTGCAGCTCAATTTACAATTGATAAGATGTGGAAACAACCTAAGTGCCCATCAACCCAGGAATGGATTAATAAACTGTGATATATGTACACCATGGAATACTATTCATAAAAAAAGATGGCGACTTTACATCTTTTGTATTAACCTGGATGGAGTTAAAACACATTTCTCTTAGTAAAGTATCACAAGAATGGAAAAACAAGTATCCAGTGTGCTCGATACTAATATGAAGCCAGTGGATGATTTAATACATGCCCTCATAAGAGAAAAATTCAATTGAATTCAAGATGAGGGCAGGGGGACAGGAGGAGGGAGGGGCCAGGTGTGCTCCCACTTAATGGGCACAATGTACGGTTACACCGCACAGCTGCTGGGTGCAGAACACAGCTACAACCGGGACTCTACCTAACAAACACAAACGTTGTAACCTAATTGTTTCCACACTCACATTAATCTGAAATTTTTTTTAAAAAAACTGATTCAGGAAGAAAAAACATAAAATTACTCTATAAAATAAAAGAGATTTTTTAAATTTTGTGAGCACCTCTAAAATATAGGATAATGTATGTCATATGCGGATGAACCCACAATTATATTCTCTTTGATTTCATTTCATATATAGAGATTACACTAAAAATAAGGGATATTAAACTAATCCTGACAGAACAAGCTTACTAATATTTGTGTACAGGTACCTGATTTCCCCTGGACTGAAACAGGTAATTCTAAATGACAGACTGTGATTAGCTAGTGAACTTTAATTCATTAAAAAAAAATACTACACATCTCTAAGAGAGAGGGGAAAACTATAAATACCTTCCAAGATCGAGTGTGGTCATTCAAAGACAACATGTTTGGTCTAGGCAGAGGTTTCCTCTCTGAAGCACTAGAGAAGTTAGTGAGTCAACTTCCTTCTAAGATTAGAGAAGACACTGCACTGGCCTCTTAAGCTTCAGCCTCAGCCTTTAATTTTCTAGGTTGTCCAGCCCAAACCATCATAGATACAAGGTCATAGTATACCAAGGAAAAAAGCTTTGGAAAAGTTTAAGACAGAAAAATAAGCAGATCCTTTGGAAGTGCAGAAGTTAAATTATATATATTTATATACATTTAGAGAGAGAGAGAGAAGATAGACGAAGCAGGACCGAACTTTCCCATAGGAGGTACCACAAACCTCTTGAATATGTGACACCTAGGTTATAAAATGGGATTAGGACTATGGCATCCTGTTTTTTGGACAATATCTTAATAGAAAACAGACCACAGTAAAATTTACTAAACTCTTAACAGCAAGAAAAATGCCACTCCCAGATGAGGCAGGAATCCCCATATGAAACTTGCCTGGCCTTGAGCATCATGGCGCCCAGTGCTCAAAGCTCCATCGGCACCTCCAGAAGGGCCGTGGGCTCAGCTGTGCAAGGCCCGTAGCTCCTTAGCTGTCACCATAAGGCTCCTTTCCAGGCTTCTGAGCCTGCCCCCCCCCACAGTGCTCCTCTCACCTCCCTGTCTCTCTTCTCTGGCCACCACTTCCCCCGGAGCCATCGAGCCTGCATCAGAAATGACGTCTGGTGCAGAGTGGTTAAGGGGCAGAGACGGAAAAAGAATAGGGGAGCAAAAGGCGATTCACATCTGGCACGAGTTCACTTCACCCTCTGCAAAAACTGAAACATCTGGATGAAAAGCTGGGAAATCCAAAGGAAGGTCACAAAAATGAGACATGGGCTCAAGGCCACCCCTTTAAGATCCAAGGACAGGCTCCACTGGGCATGGTGATGTTCAAAATGGGACAACAGTTGTATTCTGGAGCATAAGAACTTATCTGGGCTTCTTCCCAGCCCCTCTTTTCCACGACAGCCTCTCTACCCACAGGGAAGGTCTCTGAAGCCATATTTCAACCATCCTTCCACGTGGACCACAGTCAATTAGACCAGGAATAGATGGCTCGCCCACCATGGATCAAATTCTCATTCCCCAAAACCTGGAAATTGATGTCAGAAGTAATGAGAGTGTCTTTGTCTAAAACTGTAACATGTAAACTCAGAAGCTGTAAAGTCACCATACTCCACCAACCAGATGAGTAAGCAGAAAATTCCCATCTGTAAAGAAAAAAGAAGAATAAAAGTTAGTCATGAAGAGTAGAATGAAACAGATGTGCAGAGAAGACAGAAGTGAAGGTGAAGAGAAGATTCTGGAATCTTCCCACTCACCAGCTTCAGTGCCTTTTCCAGGCCCACCACATTCCTGCACTTGGATTCCATCGGCCATGTACAATGAAGTTCCCCTTTATTTGCCAAGCAAACTCAAGTCATACAAATGATACAAATACAAAACTCCACAAAATAAATTAGGAAATAAAGGGAAAATAAAGCAAAGACTGACCCGATCTTTAATTATAAACCCTGCTGCAATGAGGGAGGGTGTCGCACGCCAGTTCCTACAGGCCTAGGGTCCCTGCATAAGCCACAGTATAGTTGCTCTGTGTCTGAACTGGTGGTTAGAATCAGCACTCCTTGCAATGCTATTTAATTTACAACGATGATAGAAAGGAGGAAAAAATAAATCTCAGAAGGAAATTGAATCTAGCTACTGTTCCCCTTCCCATATTAAAATATTTTTCTGAAAGTGAATTCTCTAGGGAAGAGGACATCACAAAAGAAACAGATGGTTATTTTAAGGAAAGTAAGAGACACTCCATCTTGCCTTTCCCTCATTCCTTTTTTTTTTTAACAGAAAGGACTTCCGAGGTATGGTCATTCCTCACATACGTTTCGGCTGTCCTGTTTATATCACACAAAAGACAGCAGGTCATTGCACTATTGCACCACACAGCAAGCTGGGGGGTGCGGGCCAGGCCTCAGACATGGGAACCTTTTCTCAGTTAGGATTAGCAGATGAAACCAACTGTTCACTTTTTGCTCCGCCCATTAGCTGCAAAGATAAAAAGAACTGCTCTTCCAGCCCATAATATTCCAGTTTCCTCTATTCACTCAGCACTTTCCTTTCATGCTCAGCAAACAAAATGCATTTATAATGTGGACTTCATTTGTTCCCTCTGATCAAGAGGTTTTTTTGTTTTTTTTTTTATTTTATTGTTGGGAGTTCATTGAGGGTACAAGAAACCAGGCTACACTGGTTGCATTTGTTGGGTAAAGTCCCTCTTACAATTGTGTCTTACCCTAGGAGTTTATTTTTGTCAGAGACAATGGTAAGCAATTGCTTTCTGAAATGGAGCCTTGGAAATGTGCTCCCTCTGACACGGGGGTGCTGATTAGACCTCCTTTCAGGAGATGGTCTGGGGACTGGAACACAGCACCCACACACCACTCCGCCCTCCATCTCAGTTTTTCTGAGCTGCACAGTTGTGGAACGGCTCCGAGTCCTCTTACCACAATTCAATGAGATAGCCAGATTAGACATATAGATAGTAGATAGATAATGATCGTAAGTCTGTAAATAAGGAATTTCATTCCTAGTTTACAAAAAAACTGAACTGAAAGTATCAATAAGTCTGAAGCAGTCACCCAGCCCGCTACTGAGCACAGAAGCCAGAATGTGTATTTCTACTTACCTTCTTTCAAAGCCCATATTCTCTCTACTATACTCTAGGAGAGAATTTTTATTTAAATATGCCCAATTCTAATGAAAATCAGATCATCCTAAGAGTTACAGTGGAAAACTAGGCCAGCAAAAGTCTTATCCAGTTATCTAAGCTGCCTCTCAGCCTAAGTTGAATTTGCTTTGATATTCTTTTTCCATGGAACAAACCAGTGACCTGCAGAACAAATTTCAAGTTGTCATCTAGGATCCAATTAAACACGTCTGTTGAGCAATTACACTGGCCACATCTTACCAGAATGAAGTCACCTCACTCCCAACATTAGCAGGAGACAAATAGGTCAGATGTCTCATATTTCTGTGGCACATGCTAAGCCAAAGGTGCAGACAGTCCAGGCCCCATGGATAGCACTTCACTTTATGGTGCTTCACAGGTAATTTTTACAGATTTAACACTGGAGGCAGCCCTGCACCGAGCCAGTCTGTTGGTGCCACTTCTCCAATAGCACAGGCTCACTTTCTGTCTCTGCGTTGCATTCTGATAATTCTTGAAATGTTTTAAAACTCTCCCATTATAATTATCTCTGTTATAGTGATTTGTGAGCAGTGACCTTTGATGTTACTATTGTAATAGTTTTAGGGGGCCACGAACTGCACGCACATAGGACAAACTAAATCAATGCGTGTGTACGAGTGCTGTCCTTCTGGCCATTCCCATCGCCTTCCCTCTTCAGGGACCTCTCTATTCCCTGAGTCCCAACAATGTTGAAATTAGGCCAATTAATAACCCTCCCGTGACCTCGAAGTGCCTAAGTGAAAGGAAGATTTGCATGTCTCTCATGTTAAATCTAGAGAAAAAAAGCTAGAAATGATCAAGCCCCGTGAGGAAAGTGTGTCAAAAGCCAAGACAGGCCCAAAGCCGGGTTTCCAGTGCCAGACGGCTGGTCAAGCTGTGGATGCAAATGGAAAGTTCTTGAAGGAAATGAAAAGTCTTACTCCAGGGAACACACAAATGCCAAGAAATTGCTGGAATAGACGAGTCTGAGTGGTCTGGATGGAAGACCAAACTAGCCATGACATCCCTTAAGCCAAAGCCTAATCAGAGCAAGGCCTCATCTCTCGTCAATTCTTTTAAGGCTGAGAAAGATGAGGAAACTCCAGAAGAAAAATTTGAAGCTAGCAGAGGTTGTGCCATGAGGTATAAGGAAAGAAGCCATC